CATAATTCCACATTACAAATCTGGTGATAAGGCAAACGTCCGCAATTACAGACCCATAAATATAACCCCAGTTATCTCACGAATCATGGAGAAAGTTGTAAAAGATCAATTGTCAGACTACCTAATTAGGGAAGATCTTGTTACAAGGTCTCAACACGGATTTCTCAAAAATAGATCCTGCGTTACTTGCCACTTCGACTTTTTCAACTGCATCACTAGTAGTCGCGAAGCACGTAAGCTAGTCGTTGTTCTCTACTTCGATATATCTAGGGCATTTGACATGGTATCTCACAGTATTCTCTTTGAGAAGCTGTACTCTTGTGGAATTCGCAACCCATTACTGAACTGGTTAAAATCATTTCTAAGCAACAGGGTACAAATAACCAAAGTTGGATCTGTATTGTCTCATCCTAGGCAGATCTCAAGTGGGGTCGTGCAAGGTAGTGTCCTAGGTCCACTTTTATTCACAGTCTACATTAACAGCATTTGCAAGTGCTTCACCTCAGGTAAACCATTCCTATATGCTGACGACCTCAAAGTCGTCTACTCCTGCTACACTCATGAATTAAGCGATATGGTAAATAAATACATCTTGAACTAAGTAGTCTCGCAACATGGTGTGCTGAATCCTGTCTAAATTTTAACATTGACAAATGCGGCTGGATTTGTATCGGCAACAGTAACCTTGATCTAACTCTTGAAATAAATGGGCGAAAACTAGCTAAGCTCAACTCAGTCGTAGATCTCGGTATTAGATACTCTAGTAACCTAACGTTCGCTGAACAGACTGATTATGCCAGACGTAAAACACGAAGGCTGATAGGATGCATAACACGCAATTTCTTTTGTTGTGAAACTAGGGTTTTATTATACAAAGTATGTGTCCGACCTATCTTAGAATACTGCCCGTTTATTCTTAGCGGACTCAGACAAAATGACAAGCTTAAATTAGAGGGAGTGCAACGGCAGTTTACCTCAAGAACTCTTGGTTTAGAAAGTGGTCTGGAATACCATGAGCGATGCGAAGACTAAGATTAGAACCACTCTGGAAAAGACGTCTTAAGCTAAACCTTATCTTTTACTACAAGCTAACTAATCTTCTCTTGCATTCCTCCGAGCCAATAACTAAACCTAGCACTGTCATCAGTTACAATCTTAAAAATCATCACAACCTAGCTGCTATAGAGCACTGTCAGACTTACGTGCGGTACAACTTCTTCTTAAATAAGTTTTCAGTCATTTGGAATAGACTACCAGCTAATGTGCGCGATGCAAACACACTTCCAGTGTTCATCTCCTCAGTCACCAGACTGCTCAGAGATGACAATGCACTTCTACGCCTGACTCTTACACCCTCTTTTTCACCCTACATAGATATTTTAAGTTCATTAAACGTGTAGTTACAACAAACTACAATTATAAATTGTAATATTATTGGAACTAGATGATAAACACTTCTACACAGGACAGTAATATTAGTTCACACATAATATAAAAGTTAGCATAACGGGACTAGTTAGTTAGTGCACAAAAATAGCCATAGTTACTAAACAGAATATATATGTATATATTTATTAATCACTCCTTCAGGACTCCTCTTGCTTTCTTTTGCGTTGCTGTTGTTTGTCTTCTTTTTTGTCTCACCATTTTAGCTTCCATTTGACTTTTTCTATGAGAATGAAGTATGTGGATATTTGACCGTTTACAATGACAAATGATCTGCAAACATTATTGGTCCCATATCTTACAATTCCTTCGTGAATTACGTATTACCTTCCTTCACGACGCAACGCGGATTACATTTGTGGAATTTACTCTAATACCAATGGAAAAGTATCAATTCGTAGTACAACGTCATGATTGTAATTCATAACATAACTGATCGCATCTGTAAAAATGGCTTTCTTTTCTTGGAAACACCCATGTATAAAAAAATATATACTATTATCATTCTACATTCACTCGTGATGTTACGATGAAAATGCTGACAAAACTATACAAGTGTATCACTTATTTTATTTATTACCAAATTTGGATATAAATCAAGAATAATTTCGGTTTTGTGCACACCTAAGTTATATTGGGGAATTACTTCAAGCTTTATTTTTTCCCGAGTATTTTTAATCCATCCAAAACATACTCGGGTTTTTTGTTAATGCGAAGACAATATTTCTATATTTCATGATGTGCTCCATTGAATGACTGGTTATCATATTGTTCCCACAAACAGAAGACAAAAACGTCAGCAACCATGCAATTTAACTATAAGCTAAATTTATGAAATTTAAATCATGCTTATCCATGCCTGTACATTTGATGTGTCTTGCACAGGTAGGAAAAAATATGTATTGTATTAAAACATTATTATTAAGTATGATTACTAATCGTATATGTAATTTATCATATTGATGATGCCTGTAAACTGGCGTCCCTCATGTAACAAATGAGAATATATTATTATTATTATTTATATCGTACTGATTCTAGCTGACTAAGGGCATCTTCTACTTTAACCCAACTAGTATACCGGTGACTAAACATAATTCTGTCAAAAGATTTTTTGATGTCCACTGATACAGAGAGGGCAATTTGGTTGCCATTGTCTCCAGGTGCCAATGCGTTCATCCGGTATCACTGTAAATGTCAATTCCAGCTCTTACTACGCTGGACTTCACGCTGTCCTTGGAAGACTTTCAGAAACAATTTGTAATAACCAACTCGAAAAACCAGAACACAGATTGGCGACTCGAGAATCCTTTATTCTTACGCCAATATGTAACCAACAATAGGGTTATTATACACAAGTTCTAAGACTAAATGTTATAACAATAAATCACGATAATACTTCTGATAGTTTTCTGTCTTCCACCGAACAGCGAACAATGAGACGATGACTGCTGGATGGATGACTCCCACGAAAAGTATGGAGGAGTTGGGTTTGAGCAAATAACCATGAATTGATCGTTCAATCTTCAACTACATTGAGAGAAGTTGTAATCTGTTTAGGCCCTTAAAGGAAGATATTCCTCATGGAGAACTCTTATGTAAACCGAAGGTTCCATTAGTTGACTAAATCTTCCTCTCTTCCTGCATAAATTTGATATTTGTCAAGTCTTTATTCAAAATCTGCTGGAGTAGTTAGTAAAGTAAAATTTTTGGTGAATAATTCCGAGACTTGTTTTAGTCATTGGTATTCCCAGGATATCACTTACTCTTTTTATGCAGCCGAAATATACGAATCTCGCTTTATTGAAGAAACACTATAATGCTTGCAAAAGTAGTGCGTCAGTTTATGAGTTTCAGAAAGTCTACAGAATGTTTTGTATTCAGTGGTTACTGCTTGCGAATTATCCCAGAAAACATATTTCCTAGTTGGGTGTAACACAAGACTGAATTCTTAAACTGTCATCCTTATATCAGTTCAATCCAATCACATGTATATTAGTAGGATAGCCAATAATTGACTTTAGAGACTTATCAGGGAATAGTCTCATCAACTTACAGTTTGCTGATGATATTGTACACCTAGACTATGAGAAGTAACCCCTGATGCTGGAAAATATGAAAAGAATACCGGTGTTCGATTATAGGTGTCTGTGTTCTATCTCATGAGTGAAGCAGTATAATATGGGGAGTGATGTTGTCAATGAATTGATCGTTCAATCTTCAATGACATTGACAGTAAATGAAAACAGAAGCTTTTGAATTAAATATTCACGAATTGCCAACAGAATACAATAGGCAACTTGAAAGTGAATTGTTTCGGAAATTCTAGCGGAATTCCTTGATCGTGCCTGTAAAAATGGCATGCATTTTCATGTAAATTTATGTTTATATGAAAATAAATTATTATTATTATAATTACCGTTTTGGAAAATTCCTGATTATAATCACAAACGTTGACTGACACTCTCGTGAACGACAAATATGAACACAAGTGATAAAACGAAGCTCTGCAAAAATCATTGAGACGCCACAAACAAGAGTTAATACCAAGGATTTTAGGTGTACCCTATAATTCTCAAGCATCCCCCTGCACGGTAAATGCCTTCAGGCTTAGAGACAGCTTTTGACGACTATTCGTAACGAAATCAACACAGTTCAAGCCAAATAAAAATCACGTCAAATGCAGCCACCTAGATCAAACGAAACAAATCAGCCAAACTCAAATCAACTAGACCGCGTAATTCAGAAAGGCCTGGAAAACCTGGGGAACTGAACTTCGGAAAGTAGGTTGGCTTTCAACACTGATAAATGCTTAGGCAGTAATCATCCGTGCACCGTAAATGCCCAGTCAACCTCTGCAGCACATGGACAGTGTTACCTAGGGCAACTCCTTACAGATAAACTAAACACAAATATCAAATATGCAAGAGCAATGGCATGTCTGCCGTTGGAGTCTCTTTCGTGCATAGACAGTTCATAGCACTTACGCCGGGACTTCTGATGCAGTTATAAAAACGTATGTGTAGACAGTTGAAAGTTTATAATTCACCACCAATTCTATCAGAGGATACGAAATCCCCTAAAAATCTCACAAACTTAATGAACATATACGTAAACCCATCGTTTTCTTCAGATTCTCTCGTTTCTTACTCTCCTGTTTATTCAAAATATTACTTCACCTATGCTATTATTAGTGTTGTATACACACACGCACTATATACACATATTTCACTTTCAAATTTCATTATATGTCTATTTTTTTGTTTTCTTTCCCTCTTTTTTAGTCTACAAAACCAACACTAATTATATCTATAACCTTTTGGAGTCAGCCGAAGTTACGTCGGTCGAGTGGTAGGACGAACTACGCAGAAATTTATCGAAGACCAGGAACCTTTAACGATATTGGATATCTCTCATCTCATCGCGTTTAGCGAAGCTGTAGTATTCCAACCAGTAGGAATTCAAAAAGGGCCTGGAACACCTCTGAAACAACAAGAAGTGAGAGTCGAAATTCACAAGGTTAACAGAACTTAACCAATAGGCTATTGGATATTGAATAAGAAGTGGGAAATTCGTTGGGAAGGTCACTACATGTAAACCGTTTGTCTTACTGTATGCCGGAGGCAACAACCGAGGATATCTGCGTTGTTCAGAACCTTCCATCATTAGAACAGTAAGGGCGAGCTTTCTATACTTTTTCGTCTTTCATGTACTTTTTGAGAACTGTTAGATTCTAATGGACTGTCACAACTAAATAAGCCAATGTCCACCTAAAAACGTGACAAAACTGTGAATTCATCACTGTTGAATTACAGATCACTGTACGAGAGCATTGTAATAGCTATTACAGTGCAACCAACTGGTTGGTTGGTATGATTTCATTAGTTGAAGAAGCTTAGAACAGTAATCGGTGTTATGAACAATTCGCCATCAGGGAATACATTTTAGAGACATTTTCCATGTCAATTGTAAAAGCCGGAGATATCTTTTTGCGCAGAAGGTGTTATTTTAATACTTATGTTGTCTTGGAAGTGCAATAGCTACATACTTAAGGTGGGGTTCGTAGGGTAATAGGAAAATATATGTGGTGATGTGTATTTTGGTTTACTTTTAAGTTTTATAATTAACCCATTTCATCTCTACCCCCCTTAATACATTTTAATTACCCTTATTCTTGTCGTATGTGCATTAATTGAGCAATCTCTAGTGCCACTTAATGCCTTTTTCCGTAGTGTAATTACGACTACAGCTTGAAAATGAAGTCGTTAAAAAGATACATTTCTTCGCTGAACGAAAACTGTTTTTCCTTATGAATTAACGGGCATATTTCGTAATTACTTTTAGGAGTTGTGAGTTCGACTGGCGTCATCGTGTTCCGACTAGAAGACTTATTTGATTAAAGTTACTAGTCTTCATGGGGTGAAGCAGTAGGCCTGATGACGTCCTTAGTTGTGATCGAGCATCTATGGAAGCGTTCAATAAAGCAACAGATACCACTAGTCTCAGTAATGAACTCCATTAGTTCGCTACCGTTTACAAGAGTCTGAATTCCATCCCCAGATTATTTGGCCAAAGTTCAACTACCTATCTGTGGTCATGTTTTAGAGATATCCTACACAATTTGTTTCACGATATATCAAAGTTGGGGCGCATGTCCTTCCACAGTATGGTTCTGCTGGACTTAATATTTCCATCCTTTTTCGTAGTCGAGGCAACAGATTCCTTTACCAGTCTAGTGCCTTACTTTAGTACTTCTTCTAAGACGTGTTCCGTTCTTAAAGTAGTGTGACAGCCTGTAGGCTGTTGTAAAGGTAAGGTCTAACATGCGTTGAATGGAGTATGGGGATTTGTCTAGCCACTCCCGACCACTGGGTTCTGAGTTTGAAGCTCGCTTGACCTACCGAAGTTTGAGCACCCGGTAGTGCAGTAAAGTCATACAGTAAATGTTGCTGATGGCCTAATACATGAAAGGTGCGACTCAGAGAACTTAGTTTTAGTACGTTGGTGGTCTTCAAGCCAGTAGTATCAGATGCCATCCAAGCTGAAACCTTCGATCATAAAGTTTACTAGTACACACTTGACAAGAGCTCACCGTTAAAGCGGTTGTATGAGCCAGCTGTTGTTGGTTCCTTCTTGTTAATATGTGGTCTTAAAATCACCTACTACCAAGCACCTATTGTTATTTTCTGTCACACACAGTTAGTCTAATATGTGGTTATCCGTTTCGTACAGCACTTAATAGTTAAACCGTTAATAAGTTTTCTTGACGTATTTTACTTTAGAAATAATGCAAAAATCAAACTATATCCTAGAGTTGTCAATTCACTTAGAAATGAGTTCTTGTTTTATTAAAATGTTTTTAATGCATTTATGTAGTATTTATGTGTTCATTTCTATAACATTTTAAGAAAGATGGCCGTATCCAATAAATAAAATTACATAATTTTATGAAAGATGAATTCCAATAAAAATCCAACCGTAGTTAATTTTGATATTCACTGGTTAATTTGTCAAATATCCTATTTACTAAATTTTATATTTCATATACTTGATATGTCAATTCTTTAATTGCACTGTAGCTACTATCACGGTTACATTGATCGGGCTGAGGCAGAGAAGCGCCTACAAACTTTCAATATACCAAACAGTTATCTTTTACGTCTAAGCCGTACAACTCATGGCAATGATACATGGGAGAACATATATGTCCTATCATATCTTTCCTCAGCGCGTGTCTGTTTTCACTTCAGGTAGATAAATATATAGTCACCAGTCTAAGTATTATGTAGACTTATCCCACGTTTCCATTGCTTTCAACTTGGTGGAAGATTTTTCGACAGTTTAGATGGCTGTTTGTCGAGGTATTACACCCGTGACATAATGACAGGTGAACGCCTTAAACATCCCATCCCACCTACTAGTGTAAGTTGATACATGTATTTATTTGTTGCATTCATATCAGTATTTCATGGTGTTTTCCAAGTTTCATATACGTAGTGTTATATTTTCAACGTAAAAATATTCCTACGTAATGTTTATATATTAAGCTTGGTGTAAAAAATGGACACAGGTAGTTCAATGAAGACTTAGATATAGTATCTGTTTCGGACTCCTAGTTAAATGGGTCTGTCCCATAGTGCTTAGTAAAAGCTTTGTACGTAACTTGTAACTTAAATGTAAGTAGTCAGATGGGTGTAAATTTGTTATAACTTGACGATGGGAGGTTTCTTTCCTAGTAGCTCGCCACCAATAATCACTAAAATGACTTACAACAACAAAGCATAATTGGTAAGTCACGGAAGTGAAAATATTGTGATTGTGAGTGCTGGTCAATATTTAAAAACACTAAATAAATCTGTTATAATGCAAGTCTGATGTGAGTACATAAAATATTTTTCGAAATATTCGAATGGTTGTGTACCACGTAAAATATTTTTTTGTTCTATAAGTTAACTAAGAATTTATGGCTCTTATGAAGCGTACATAAGTAATGTCGAACAGTACGTGTTTAATTTTCAGTTTTTATAATAAGTAGATTTACATTATCCCCCACATAGTACCTTATACATCTAGTCTATTAAATCTTGCCCTTTATATTGTTGTAAGCTGACTGAGTTGCATGTTTCTACTGGTCTTGTTCTGCATTTCATGTCTAGTGTTGTTATCATCGCCACTATTACTATTATATTTTAGAAATCAGTATGTGAAAGTTTCATACGAAAAATTTTATTTACCAGTCAGATTCTCTTCACTACTACGAACCTACAATATCTAACCATTCATACGAAGTTACGTGAATGGTCTGCATGTTCTCCGTAAACTATTTTTGAGTATTCTGTGGAGTGTACACTTCGTTTTGATCATAAAATGTTATTACTGCAGAATGCTAACCAAATTCAGTCAATGCTTCCTCTGTGGGCCGGGGAGACTATACTTAACAGTTACATTAGGGGTGATATTTCCTCTGTTCGTTAATGCTTTCCATAAATTAGCTAATACAGCTGTGGGTGTGTGGACTTCGCTCTTCCCTTCAAGTTACTCTTATGTAGCCACATATTCGTATCCCATGCCTGATGAGCTGTATTTATTGCCTCCACACTGCCTTTGAGTATTACTATAAAAGCGGAAGGGGTAATGCTAGAGTCCGCTCCCCACTACGACATTGATATAAATTATGGATTCACCTAAGAGAACCGGGAAACCTTGATTCCGAATCTATGGTGCAAACAAATGGTCACTGACACTCACGGAAGCACGCTGCTCTATCACCGTGGGCATCAGATGTGAGTCCAAGGCGCGGGAATTAGTGACTTCGGGTAACCATCTGTTTCTGTCTGTAATTCCAGGCAGTATCTCAAATGTCACATAAAATGTGTAACTGTATTTGAATAGAAAGCTCTACTCGGTTATTTTATGAAGCTCACTTCTTGGTGCTAATACTGTTCAAAGTTTATTTAAAAAAAATGAATAGGTGAAACATAAGTATTTCGTACAATTTCAGTTGTTTGCAGACCTATCAAACTACATTTTACGCCTATTTTATGGATACTTTGAAATATTCGCACTCATTTTCGCGCCTAATTTCGAATAACAGCATACTTACATTGGTAACAGTTCTACAATAGAGCAGGACAGAGTAGCATTCTTAATGTGAGTAGTGTAGTTAGCTGCAGGAAGGCGCTGATCAATGAATGTCTGTTCATTGAAACAAAACTAAACACTTGCAATGAAAATGGCAACAGGAATGCTAGATATCTGATGGAATAGTGTTACATCAATAATATCAAAGGATAGAAGGCAAGCCAGCGAGTGTGTGATTCTTTAAAAAACATTATTGTGAGCAGTAGACTAACTGTCCTACAGACGTCACCAATCAGTAAGCAGTATCACACCATTCCGTGCCATAGGGGTATATTTTATTAGCTTAAGCACTCAGCTATCAGTTATTAGGCCCAGAATTCTCAACCCCTTCCACCTACTACAATATGGACGGCTGGATATTATCATCAGCCTTCACATAATCAGTGTTACCTATAGTCTGCCAAATGAAAAATCTATTCCTGGTAACTAAGTACTAACACCAACGTGCACCATACGAAATGAATCAATCACAAGCGGACTAACAATATTATTTTCAGGTTTTTTGAAGTCCACCACTGCCTCTGTTGTTGCTATTATCTATTTTCATTTTTAATTTGCTAGACTTTTATTTTCGAATAATTTCAGCTTCCTATTGAATATCATACACAACGCTTACGTGCTATTCAGGATTTTGAGCCAGATAATGCTTATGATCGACTTGGGTGAGTAAATTAACTTAATTTGGTAAATTTAAATTTTTTAAATTGTTTTATGACGTATTTTCAGAAGTTGAATAACTTCCCATCAGATTCAGATGGCCCTAAACTATTAAAACCACTTGTTCTATAACATGCCATGAAACTTCAAAATAAGTGTTGCAAAAATGAAGAAGAGAGGAATAAAGCCATGACGAAGATACACATTTGCGTATTTCTTCACTACCCTCTTTCACTTATTCGATGATTTAGAGCATTTATCTTTACGGTATGTTATTCAACAGTTAGTTTGAATGATTTGTGGACGTCAAACTGTATTCAGTTGAGGAAGAACTTTAAAATGAAATGAGTCCTGTGGGAAAAGTTCCCATCTCGTCTTCATCATTTCTGAAATCTACACAACAGTATTCATAATTACAGAAGCATAGTAAAATATGTCATTACGTTATTACAAAAAGTATTCAGAAATGGATTAGTGACTTAGTTTTTTTTCTATTTCGTCCTCACAATTTGTGTGACCTACTTACTTACACTTACTTACCACTTTGGTGCGATACCACTTTTGCATTCTTCTTGTGTTTGGAAAATAGAAGTATCATCGCAACCCTAGTGGTCTTCTGATTTCCGCCTTCTTGCGTCAGGACTATTAGTTTCTCGACCAGTCCATAACAATAATTTAGCGACGAGTACATAACACTTAGTTTGAACCACGTAGGGAGGTATAGACTGCCTGGCTGGGATGTTCAAGACTCTAAGGACCAATGGCTACAGACTATTGTTGATATGGCTCAAAATCGTTCTCGATGGTGCTGAAGAATCCACTCTTTATAATCTCCTAGATGGATTAATTCCTCATTTTTCTCCATCTGATTATTCTTTTCTCGTACATTTCTGCCCATTATAGTTTCTTTGTATATTTTCTATTTATCTTTATGTGTACATTTAGTGGGTTTTAGCAACTTGATATACCTTACTTTTATGCAAAGTTCTGCGTTGAAATTTCAGTTCAGTTTTCGCTTCGGAAGTCCCCAAGTTATAGGCACGCTTCACTCCTAACTTGTAGTAACTACTGTTACTCTTTATCATTCTTAGATGTGCTGTTGACGATCGTTTCTTATTGGTTCATGAAGACCCGAACTCGGATTGGTTACTAGCCACTTCATTGAAATCTCGTCATTCAGGTTACTTACCTAAATCGTGCGTTGAGGTAAGTGTTACATGTTATTGAATGTATAATTTTTTACTTTTATAAGCACTCTATCTTTCTGCAGTACATACTATGGCACACTGTCATATTTTGCATACGTACCATTATAGACTCAAAAGTTTGTGATGTTGCTCAGAACGCCTGTCAAATTAATGTCGAGTGATTTCACGTTACAATTTGTCGGTTGCATTGTTGTGGAATTGATTTACCTTATCTCAAATTCACGATTTGCAAGTTATCGATCAGTCAGCAGTGTGTAGCGTCATGAATTCGTGATTGCTTTCTTAAATGTCATTTATGGTATCAAGAAGATCACATATTGCGAGTTCGATTCAATGTATTACTAGTTTGTCCAAGCAGTTAGATGGAAATCGTGAGGTTTGGGTTAATTGGGCTGTCTGTCTGTCTGTCTGTTTTCGACATAGAACTTTGCACAAATGTGCGGAAGTTCAAGTCGCCACATTCCGTGTAGCACGCGAAGCAAGAGAAGAAAGTACAAGAAAAGCATAATAGAAACAGTGAGCAGAGGTGTGAGACAAAGGAGTAATAAAGAAATACAAAACAGTTTCATTGAAGATCATAAGTCACAGGGAGTGGATGCATCTGCGCCACTGAGAACGATTTTGGGCCATGTCACCAATTGTTTCCAACCATAGATTTTTACCGTCCCGAGGACCCCAGCCTGGAAGTCAACACCGTCCTACGTGGCTTAGACCAACTGTTGTGGATTTCATTGACTGATGCCAAGTTTTTGTTTGACCGCCGCTAGCTTTTTTCCAGCCTGACCCTATATCCGCTAACATAGCTCGTCGAGGGAGGCGATGGCTTGGCATACGTAACACATGTCCTAACCATCTCAGTCTTTGTAGCTTCACGACTTCGTCGATTGATTTCCCCTGTTTACCTAGAACTCTACGCCTAACCTCCATGTTGCTCACCTTATTATGCCACTTTACACGGGAAATAGAACGCAGGCACCTATGATCAAAGACAGCTAGTCTTTTCATGTCTTCCACTCTGAGTGGCCAGGTCTCACAACCATAAAGGAGGACGGAGCGGACTGATGAGCAGTACACCCGCCCTTTGGTCGATAGTCGAACATCTCGTCTACGCCAGAGTCGGCGTAAACTAACAAATGCGAAACGAGCCCCTTGTATTCGTGCTGAGATTTCGTCAGAGATCAGCCCGTTGGGGCTGATGGTACTTCCCAAATAAGTGAAGCGGTCAACGTGCTCTACCACTTCACTTCCTATTTTTAAACTAGGCGTCGATGTAGTCCAGTCCTGTAACATCATCTTGCATTTGGCGGGAGCGAATCGCATGCCAAACATTCGTAGATTGCGGCTCAAGGTGTTTAGAAGACTCTGCATTTCGTCAGCGTCTTCGCCTAGAAGGACTATATCGTCTGCATATTCCAAGTCAACGAGATTATTCCCCGGTAGCAAGTCAATTCCTGAGTCACTGAAGTCACCTAGGGTTAAGTCCATTAACACATCTATGATGAAGTTGAATAGAAAAGGAGATAATGGGCATCCTTGACGGACACCACTGGTTGTCATCAGTTCAGATGACAGCTCGCCGTAAGCCCTCACCTGGCTGTATGAGTACGAATAGAGTGCCTTAATCAGTGCAATATATTTTCTTGGAATTCCCTTTACAGCCAAGCATCTCCAGAGAACTTCCCGATCGACAGAGTCGAATGCTGCCTTTAGGTCAAGAAATATAATGACTGTTGGACGCCGGTAGGAATGCCTATGTTCTAGAATCTGTCGGAGGGTGAAGATATGATCAATACACCCTCTTCCTGGTCTAAAGCCTGCCTGGCTCTCTCGTGTTTGTGCTTCCCGAGCACCACTTAGTCTACGCATGATTATTGAGCCTAAGACTTTAGATACTATATTAGTCAAGCTAATCCCTCTGTGATTATCACAGGAAGACTTGTCTCCCTTCTTGTATATGGGGATAATCAGTGACTTACACCAACCCGATGGGACTTCTTCTGATTCCCAGACGCTGCCTAGTACCTCAGTCAAGCAGCTACCCAATCCAACATCATGTCCAATACAAAATTTCAAAATTTCATGCCGGATCGGCCGTGGCGCGGATTAACAACGACCGCGCTTCCTGCTGCCGTGTCACAGGGCGGGAGTGATAAATCTGCTACTGAGACACACCAAACAAAAAAGAACAAACAAAAACAGGCCGCGTGTGACCGGCCTCAAGCAGTTGTCCCCTGGGCTCTGCGGTCACGCAACCAACTTCCACGGTGTGGGCAGCCGGGAAGTAACAATCGCCCTCACAATCCGAAATGCACACGAAACCTCTCTATTACTCACTCATCTTTGTCTTCATCTTCATCTCTATCATCTTGCCTTCCTTCCACTGATGCAACTCCTCGACTTGATAGCTCTCCACTTCCTCTCCACTCTGCGTCCACTAAAAACGATGGAAGCCAAAAAACCACCACCGACAGCCTCTTAAAGCCGCGCCACCAATTTCATATAGGAGCTCTTAATGTTAGGACACTTTGCCAAATAGGACAACAAGCATCACTATGCAAGACCCTGGCATCACGAGCCATTGATGTATGCTGTGTTTCAGAAACACGCATACAAGACCCAAGTGTGGTTATTCACCTAACCCCACCTGGCCAACAGGTTGAATCTGCAAAATCCACCCTGAGGGTGTCAGGAGATGCCACAGCTAGTTCACGAGGATTAGCTGGCGTAGGGATAGCTTTGAGTACTAGGGCAGAAAAGACATTGCTTGACTGGATACCGGTAGATAGCCGAATGTGTGCTGTCCGCCTGAACGGATCAGTAAGAAGGAGGAGGCACTGCACTACTCGCCGATGCCTTTTCGTAATCTCCACCTACGCCCCCACTGACTGCAGTTCAGATGAAACGAAGGATGAGTTCTACCAAAAGCTGTCTAGTTTGGTGGAAAGGCTAAACGCTCAGACATAGTCGTTCTAGCTGGTGACTTTAATGCTCAAGTAGGGAAATTGTGTCAATCTGAGAAGGATGTCGGTGGCACCTATGGAGCTCCGTGCCAGCGAACCGACAACGGTGACCGCCTCCTACAGTTCTGCTCTGATAATCATTTGTTTCTTGCAAGCACTAACTTCAAACACAAGGAAAGACACTGTTTGACTTGGAGACCCCCTTCATCAAACCAACGCTGGACACAAATAGACCACATAGCAATAAGCTATCGTTGGCGTGGGTCGGTAGGAGATTGTCGCTCCTTCTGGAACACGTGCGTAGATACCGACCATGCACTGGTCCGCGCTCGGGTGTGCTTACGACTGAACGGACGTAGGAAACAGCTGGCGGTAAAACCATCACGTCCCCAGCTCGATCAGGAAACTAAATCCGTATTTCAGGAAGAACTAGCTAAACACATATCTGTGTTCGACAGCTGTGCTCACCCTGAAGAAGCTTGGAAAAATATCCAGGCAGCCATAGATACAGCTGTAAAAGCTGTGAATAAGGTAAACCCAAAGGTGAGTAAAAACCACTGGATCTCCACCGCCTCATCCGAACTGATAGATGCTAGAAGACTTATTCCGGCGAGCTCCGAATTCAATGAGGAGCGAAAGCTGCACAAGAGGAAACTTACGAAAAGTCTCCGCAAGGACCGTGAACAGTGGTGGGCGACAAAAGCCAAAGAGATGGAGAAAGCTTTGAGGATAGGCAACACCAGGCAACTCTTTGGACTCATCAGGGAAACGGGTGGGAGAAGACAAATCATTAGTGAGACAATCTCGGAAAAAAATGGCACTATAATTAGCTCACAGGATAGACGACTGGATCGTTGGAAAGAGCATTATGAGGAGCAGTTTAATTTGCCCACAGCCACGCTCAACCTTCCGAGCATCCAACACCTCCCTGAATGGGATATAGACACAGGTCCTCCGTCACTAACTGAGGTTACTAAAGCTGTCACCAATCTGAAACTAGGCAAAGCAGCGGGACCTGATGGAATGACGCCAGAGGTATTTAAGTACGGTGGAGACAGCTTACTGTCCGGATTAACTGAGGTACTAGGCAGCGTCTGGGAATCAGAAGAAGTCCCATCGGGTTGGTGTAAGTCACTGATTATCCCCATATACAAGAAGGGAGACAAGTCTTCCTGTGATAATCACAGAGGGATTAGCTTGACTAATATAGTATCTAAAGTCTTAGGCTCAATAATCATGCGTAGACTGAGTGGTGCTCGGGAAGCACAAACACGAGAGAGCCAGGCAGGCTTTAGACCAGGAAGAGGGTGTATTGATCATATCTTCACCCTCCGACAGATTCTAGAACATAGGCATTCCTACCGGCGTCCAACAGTCATTATATTTCTTGACCTAAAGGCAGCATTCGACTCTGTCGATCGGGAAGTTCTCTGGAGATGCTTGGCTGTAAAGGGAATTCCAAGAAAATATATTGCACTGATTAAGGCACTCTATTCGTACTCATACAGCCAGGTGAGGGCTTACGGCGAGCTGTCATCTGAACTGATGACGACCAGTGGTGTCCGTCAAGGATGCCCATTATCTCCTTTTCTATTCAACTTCATCATAGATGTGTTAATGGACTTAACCCTAGGTGACTTCAGCGACTCAGGGATTGACTTGCTACCGGGGAATAATCTCGTTGACTTGGAATATGCAGACGATATAGTCCTTCTAGGCGAAGACGCTGACGAAATGCAGAGTCTTCTAAACACCTTGAGCCGCAATCTACGAATGTTTGGCATGCGATTCGCTCCCGCCAAATGCAAGATGATGTTACAGGACTGGACTACATCGACGCCTAGTTTAAAAATAGGAAGTGAAGTGGTAGAGCACGTTGACCGCTTCACTTATTTGGGAAGTACCATCAGCCCCAACGGGCTGATCTCTGACGAAATCTCAGCACGAATACAAGGGGCTCGTTTCGCATTTGTTAGTTTACGCCGACTCTGGCGTAGACGAGATGTTCGACTATCGACCAAAGGGCGGGTGTACTGCT